TTAGTGTACTATACTTACTTTGAAGGTTGATTAGAAATACTTTTGGAACACTATTTCATCACTAGAGTACATCAAGACGTCTACGTAAACTTCAATCTCCATATGTGGGAACTTTGCAGTAATGTACTGATCGAATCTGTTGGGATTTGTTTCCAGAAGTTGCTAAGACATCAGCAATTAAGACAAATAAGTTTAGGCGCTCATATTAAATGTTCCAAAAGTAAGTAGTTTAGGACAAACCTTAATATCTCAAGGGAGCTCAGTATAGTGGTTGAGCATGTTTTTCACCATTCGTAACAAATCACTAACCTTCTTTAAATTAAAAGTAAAGTATAATTTCTTCTCCTAATCTTTAAGATAATCCAAAAACTTGGGTGATAGCCTTGAATCCCATGACAACCCTTCCATAATCATTCGTCCTCTCTTCTCCGATATGTCTTGCATATCTGTGTCAATTCGTTCATTAAAAGTACAGAAAAATGAGAGTCTCATATCAGCTTTCCAAAACAGTGGATGTTACATAATTTGACTTGTACTAAAACTGCAAATAAACAAACAAAAGGGTGTGACCTAACATTTTTGAAACTGAAAGATTTTGCCGAAGGACAACCCAATACTATGGGATTCAATAACCTATGGTCAGTTGTTTGCCTTTGTTTTAAAAAAAAAAGACTATAAATTTTTCAAGAACATAAAATAAATAACAAACTTGTATACACTTTTCGAAAAAAAGAACTCATAAACATATTAACTTTACATATTTATGTCCCTATAAGAAAAATAAAAAAAAAATTCAACAAAATTTTCTAACCCTACTGCATGAAGAATAATAAAAACCATAAAATTTTGAGAAAGAAAAAATCATATGTTGGAATTGTAAATGTTCGATAAGGGAGATTTTCTACGTCAAGAGATTAGAGAAGAAATACCAGAAAGAGAAAATTTGATGAATATGGTAGTGCTTAGATATTATAGAAGACAAAATTGAATTATCATATGAATTAAGATACTCATAATTACTCAGATGGTATGAATTAACAACAAATATAATCACTAAA